AAAAAAAAAAAAAAAAAAACCATTCAACTTAATGATTTACAATCAGAAAAAAAAAATCTCATTCAACTTACTTAAGTTTAGCAAAACAAAAAAACATTAATTTGAATGATTAATGTACTAAAAATGACAAAAAAAGTACCATTAATGTGATTTCGATTGTGCCGGAACATACGTTCGTGTTAAAGGGCAATCGAAATCGCATTAATGGTACTTTTTTTCGTTTTTAATATAAACCATTCAACTTAATGTTTTACAAATAATAAATAGAAAAAAAAATCATTCAACTTAATGTTTTACAATAATAATTAAAAAAAAAAATTCATTACATCATTATTGGGCATTGTCGTAATCCAACTTAAACTTAGCCAATTGTTCTTCGACTTCCGCCGCCACCGGACATTCGCATCCCTGCTGCCAAATCGTTATAATGCCCAAAAGACGGTCCACCCACTAAAAAAATGGAAGAATAAAAAGATAAGACTAAAATTTATTAAAAAAAATTATTGTAATGAAATAACATTAATTAAAATTTAGTAACCAACTTACATAGGCGGTATTGACACGCGTTGGGACCTCGTTCTCGTCCGGCAGCTCCTCGCCCATGAGAGTCGGATGGGAAACCCGACTGTACCACTGCAGGTAATCCTCAGTCGCCTCCCCGCGATCCTGTGTGGTAGGGGTCAACATACCGGTGTTGACCGTCCTAGAAATCGGGAACTGGGTCCAGGCACCTACTGCAGCAGCCTCAGAATGCTCAACCTTGTAGTTCCTAGACTCCCAAGCACGTACTGCACTGATTGGCGGGTATGTAGGGGGAGGGACAGTCTAGACATACCCCAACTGACGCAGACACCGCGCAGGCAAGTACGGCTCGACGACATCGCGACATCGAATCAATCCGCTATAAAGAATCCTCGGCTCTATCGCATCTGGGCTGGAGCTGCCGCATTGCAACCATTGCACCTGTTCACAATTGCATAAGAGCATTTATAAAAGTAATTATATTATTTTAAATGGGTAACTAAATTTAAATAAAATAACTTCACGTACGTTGGAGGCAGTGAGTCTGTCGAGGCGCCGACGGATGGCTGTGAGCCGATCGTCTGACCGTGGCGCATTCCCTACGCTCCACGAGCGTGATCGTGCGAGATAGTCAGGACCGATGGGTAGACGACCCCGGGGTCGGAAATCGGGGAAATACTCATATATCCAAGACTGCAGAAGAGTAAAGCAGCCCGACATCTGGGCAGAGTCCCCTCGGCTGGCAATACCTAGCTGTCTGTACATGTATGCCAGCGTAGCCGATCCCCATGAGTAACCCCCAATTAAATCCAAGCCGTCGAGCACCTCGTGCAGGAGCTTGGGGGTCACTCTACTACCACTCTTGTCGACGAACAATGTGGTAGCCAGCATCACCCACATCCAGGCACCCGCCTCATCCCTAGTCGGCCGGCCTTTCCCCCTGAATGCCCCCGAAATGGCGGCTTCGGACACCGAACCACGCTGCCAGAACGAACTCATGAGTTCGCCCTTGGTGACCAAAAGTATCGACATGCAGAGCCCATGCCAGGCGTCCGAATCCAGGTCCTCAGCGACCACGGCTCCCTCCACTGGAACGCCCAAAATGGCCCGGACGTCGTGCAACATGATGCTCATTTCACCAAAAGGCAGGTGAAACGAGTCAGTATCCGGCTGCCATCGCTCCACAAAAGCAAAAACGAGTGGGGTGTCCAAGTGGGTGTGCATGGAGTCGACCAAATGTGACAGCCCGGTCTGGTCGAGAAGAGCTCTCGCATCGGAAGACATCTCTTCACGCCAAACCTTCAGATTCTCGATCGCTCTCAGTCTGTTGTGGCATTTCAGAGGCCCCCTCAAATTCCCACTCTACATGCGGGAGGCGACGTGCCCTAGAAAGCTAGGGATGACACTCCCATCAATGGGCCCACCGAGCACTGGGCCTTTAACGATCCAGGGTGCACCATCATCGGTCCTAGCTCTTTTGCTAGTACCTGCATTAAAATACAACATATCTGTATATATTGACTTGCTGGCAGATGCATTAAATAAAATATATTTAATAAAACATATTTCATAAGTTTCCCGTTCTTTTTTTTTTCAATTAATGTACAAACGTTACATATTACATTAATAAAATATAATGAAAATTTTAAACTAATTTATTATGTAACATTACTACTAATTGATTATAACAATAATAAAAATAATTATAATAATTTTCTAACTAATTAATTGTATGGTTCATCTAAATTACAAAATAATTATACCGTAGTTGAGGAGCAGGCCGATGATACTTTTCTAACAATACTGATAATTTGTTATGATTAAGTGAAAATAATTTATGTTAAACAACAATAAATACGTAAATTATTTACCTGATGAGGATGAAGATGGGCCAAAACGCCCCCCAGCCTGTCGTTGAGGAGCAGCCTGTGTAGGACGAACAGCCTATACCGGATGAACATGCTGTAGAACCGGCTGTACCGGACGAACAGGCTATACAGGAGGACGATGGTGGTTAGGACCCGTAAGCTGTGCGTGGTCCTGATCATCTGAAGAGTCATCCGATTCATACTCCTCTGGACCCTGCTCCCTCTCGCCGTACGACTCATCATCAGCATACCCCTGCTGACCATAAGGTAATGGTACGCATGCGGGGGGTTTATCGACTTCCCTGCGTAGCGGGGAAAAACATATCCCCGCTGATCGTACGATCCTGGTGCCGGGGGCATCGAACTGCCCGCCTGGCCAGGATAATAAAATCCATGCTCCCCGTACGGGAAGACTCCGTGGGGTCGCGAAATATCTGGCTGGCCCTCAAAATGATATCCCTGCGGACCATCTCGCACTGGTGCGGGGGGGCGGGAACTCTGGCTAGCCTGACGAAGCTCTACCCTCCAAGCCTCATCGATCAACGCCTGCCTTTCCATGTCCCTCTCCCGACGAACGGACGCATTGACACCCCGACTTCTAGTGTGTCGGGTGCCAGAACCATCATAATAGTCATCGAACGCCTCGTCGTCGTCCCTGACATTAGATTGTCCAGGTCTGCTAACACCCTGAATCAGAAATATAATTATTAAATTTTTCCATATGTAATGACTATTCTAATAACTATTAAAATAGATTACAATTCATTTTTTTTTCATATATAAATTTTATTAATTATTATTATAATTATAATTGTTGAGATTTATAATAGTTATTATAATTTTTTAGTTAAATTATTATAATTAATACTAATTTATAATTATTATTATTATATTTAATTATAATTATCATTACAAATTATTATTATTATTTCTTATAATATTATTATTATAAGCATTTATAATTTATAATTATTAATATTATTTTTAGAATTTATAATTAATTACAATTTATTCAACTTATTATTATTATAATATTTAATAATTATTATTATAATATATAATTATTATTATAATTTATAATTGTTATTATAATTATTTCTAATTTGTAATTATTATTATTATTATTAAAAAAAAATTTAAAAAATAATCCGACTTAAAAAAAAAATACCTTGTTAGAGAAGAATGCTTTGCCGAGGCCGTAGGATTTTTTCGACATTTTTTCGGATTTTTTTCGGTGCTCGAATCGCTCGTTGAAAGTTCGGAAATTTAGAGAGATAGAAAGTTTAGAGAGATAGAGTCTGAAAAAGGGTTAAGGGCAAAAGAGTAAATGGGGGGGCGGGGGGCGGTGACTAGTAAAAGAGGGGCGGTGAATAGCAGTTGAGTTACAATAATCCCCCACATGAGTGTAAATTAAATATATATTGAATAGTGTGCTCAATCCTCACAAAACTCTACTGCATCAGAAAATGTAGCTTTTGGCTTTGAACCTTTCTTAGTAAACATCATCGGATGCACTGGCGGACTAGTGGACATAATGCTTTGAACTATTCCTCCATAGTGTACACGTAGACAATGACATTCACACAATAGTCTTAACTCCATTTCATTCTATCGTTGTGTCCGTTTTGACCGTGGACAACACTTTGGATTCATAAATGTTTACATTTGAAGCGGTCCACAATTCACACTTATATAGGTGACCTCCCTATCAAGAGTAACCTGTATTACTCCACCTTTACAAGGTTAGAGATTCATTAAAAGTCCACATGACTTACCCTCACCACAATCAACAGGTCATCTTGCACTAGGAGTGTTCTAAGGAATAACTTTAGACATTCATATGTTCCAAGTGCTCAACTAAATTTTCATAGTTTAGTTTTCCCTTTCAACCAAGTTCATGAGATCTCCATTCACTATGGTAGGATTACCACTATGATCATTCTTTACATTGTGGATTTTTAAACTCATTCCCTCTAGCAAAATTCTCAATTGATCCCTATTCAATTCTTTCATCAAAAGATCGGCCAAATTTTCCTTAGACTTGTTATTCTTAGTTTTCCGTTTCATTGTTAATGTGTGGTTGTGGTGGGGTAAAGAATACGAAGAAAAGTGTGTTCAAGGTTTATCATATGTTTGAGATAGACTCAATGCTTTGTCCTGAGGTGAACAACACTACTTTAGAAACCTACAACGTGTACCACACTGTACATGCAAATTTTGAAAACAAAAATGCTCCTTCCCCCTATATTTCCCACCGCATGAAATACTCCATGATGTGTCTTTTGACGTGGCAGTCTAATTTTCCTTATTATTTGGCAAAAAAAAAAATCAGACTTTTATTAAAAAAAATTCATAATCTCTCTCTCCTCTTTCGTTCCTCTATTTTCCCGAATTTTTTCATTTGTCCAATTTTTGTTCACCTCCGTTTGTAGTCTCGTTCTTCCTCGGATTTTTTTCTCGATTTTTTTGGTCGAGTGCACTCTCTGATTTCTCAGCTTCAGATATCACTTTTTTTCCCCAAATTTTCTTGCCCTAGGGATGTATGTATTCTCTTAATCTTTTTCTTATTTCGAGATATTTTTTCTGTCTGCTAAATTTCCTTCTTCTCCGTCATAATCTTCGTTTTCCCCAAATTTTTTTGTGGAATTTCTTTGTCGAATGCAATTCCTTATTTTTTTGCCAAATTGACCAATTCTCCACCAGAAGCTCGAGTAGGGGCCGGAGGAAGAAAGCGTAGCGGCTGTCAAAGGCTCCGGCAGAGGGGAAGAAAGATCGTGAGAGGTTGCCGAGAAAGTGGGTGGTGGAGACCTTGATGCGCGTGTGGAGACCAGCGACTCTCAGGGAGGCGAGCAGGCGACTCATGGCCGGAACCACGAGTGAGGAGACGTTGCCGGGCGACTCGATGGCCTCAGCCCGACCATGGGTGATGCGGGTGGCTTGGTACTAGGGAAGGATAGAGTTTTTGAGCCAGGTGTTGACGTTCGGTTTGAACTAGGAGAAAGCAAGGAGGTCGGAGTTGGGGATGTCGATGGTGAGCTCGATGCCTGTGTTGGAAAAGGCCTTGAGGAGACGTTACAGAGTTGATTTTTTATTAACTCAACTTAAAAA